TATGTTATGTTATGTTATGTTATGTTATGTTATGTTATGTTATGTTACGTTATGTTATATTATATTATATTATATTATATTATATGAATTAATTAATTTGTTGTAGGGACAACAGAGGAGCGGCTCACGGTAGTGTACAACAGTCTAGGGAAAGAGTTTACGGAGACCACAGAACTGCCTTACCAGTTATTGAGGGAGGTAGGTCCATAAAGCCATTACGTATCGAATATTTTGAAGGCCACTGAAGTAATCAAATACCCTTTGATTATCTATTGTTTGTTTAAACAACTTACTTGACACACTAAAAACAATAGGAAAAAAACCCAAAATTTATAATATACTCAAGTTATTACGGAATAAAAAAAATATTTCTCAGGTAATGAATAGTGGGAAGATAACTCTCTAAGTAATATCACACCCCGGACACTCCATACAATGGTCGAAAGTTATTTACCTACTACTACTACAAACAGAAAGACGCTATCTGAACACGCGCAAATGTGTGCACGAAGTGGCAGGGTTACTCACACAGACATATATCTAGATAGACGCCGTAAGTACAGCAATTCGTATGAAAACCAAGCGTGTCACATTTCTTGTACCCACTATGACGTCACAAGAACTATTTAGTGATGGAAACCTCCTTCCGCTAGGTCTAAATCGATTGATTGACCGGAATTTTCAATTATTCGATTCTAAATAGAATAATTTTTGTTCAAGTATTTGTTGATTACAAGTACTTAGTCGTAATATTAATATAGTAGAAAAATACTAGAATAAGATAGTTTAGTCTTTTATTTCACTTGTTTCTAAAAAATGTTAATTACTTAAAAAAAGTTAAGACTTTAATTTTTAATCAATTTAAAATATTAAAATTATTGTCCTTCTAGTAAAATGAGCTTATTATATAACATCTTTTAGTAACAGAAGATCTTATCGATTAACTTAAATAATGAAAACGCAGCTCAATATGTGAACTTGCGACTGTCTTAATTAATTTTACTAAATGGTTTTCTGTTGGTAATTGGTCAAATTGATGAATGGCAAGACAAATGAAAATGTTACTGCTAACAAAATGTGATAAAATCTTATTAATCAGAAGAGGTTTACTTAATGACGGCCTCGTGTAAAATTTTTGTGATTTGTTTCTTGTTTCTCGGGTTTCTAACACTGCCACTCTGCATATTTGGATAGCATCTTAGGTGAGATAAACTAGACCACCTTCGTCCAACCATGACCAATTCCAGGTTTTTGTAAAGACAGCGCACTGTTAATTCTTTGCGTTGTATATTTTTTGTATTACTCGTACTACATATCCGGCAATGTATGTAATTATTTGCTTGCACTATTTTCGGACATTCGAGGCAACGTGCTGCAAAAATTATCGAAATTAGATACTACTGATAATAGATACTACAAAAGTGAAAAAAAAAAAAAAATACGAAACGTTACTAAACGACGTTACAAAAGAGTTATAGAATATTTTTATAATATTGCTAAGGTCATAATAATTTTCGTCCCTTTGTTTTCAAAATCGATCAGAACCGAGAACAGTGTTGCCTAACGTATATATACAACACTATTGTCCACTTGCACTAAACTTAAGTATGTCTTAAACCAATGCTTAAATTGATAAGACACTCTTAACACGATGTATTAAGAGTGTCTTTTGCATTGCAATTATTGGTTTAAGACGTACCTAGGTTTAGTGCAAGTGGACATAAATGTTAAATTTGGCCAAAGAAATGTACAAGCGGCCGTACCATGAAACTGAATGCATTATACAAAAGTGCTTTCGTTCGATATTCACGGCGTATTAAAAAGATCCTTTTTTAACAAGTACATCGCACCAAGTAAAAGACGCAATATATTACAAATCATGAGGCATACTCTCGGTTGCATATTTGTTTTCTCGAAACTCATACAAAACCAAAATAATTGTTTTCTAAATTATGCATCTTCTGATTACAAAATCACTTGCCCGTGGAAGGAAACGTCCCTGTTTAACCGTTTGCCCCCAGTTATGGTGCTTTTACAGTTTATAATGGCACAATTATGCATTTTTTCGCGTTTTCGACTGGTGTTTATCTACGATAACGGTCGAGCGCGTTATGGAGTGTAGCAGCGGCAAGTAAGTAAATTTCACTTACTTTGGGCACGCGAAGTACGTACGTATGCTTGCGGCGTCTATCTATAACAGACGAAATGACGAAAATTCTAACGCGAATCTGTTATCTATAATTCTGTTAATAGAATCTTAATAATCAAATAATTTTTTTATTGAATTGATATTTCAATTTTTTTTTTTTTGTGAAATTACTTCACTAGTTTGTTATAATTATTAATACAAAGATCGAACACTCAGAAAAAATTCCTTCGATCCGGTCGGATTCGAACCGACGTCTTCTTGCATACCGTGGCAGACGCTATACCAACTAAGGCACGGAACGAACCAACGGACCTCACGAATTTTATGAGAAATCTATGAAAGATTTATAATTTAGATTTAAAATTGAAATATCAATTCAATAAAAAAAAAAATTAATACAGTGAACAGCGACATCTCTCGCCAGGACTGGTAGCTGTAAAGGTACTAACTGGGTGATAAATCTTTCATAGATTTCTCATAGATGGCGCTACGACTAAAAAGTCGTTGAAAAACCAAATACAAAAACACGACGCAAGCACATAGAAAAATTCGTGAGGTCCGTTGGTTCGTTCCGTGGCTTAGTTGGTATAGCGTCTGGCACGGTATGCAAGACGACGTCGGTTCGAATTCGACCGGATCGAAGGAATGTTTTCTGAGTGTTCGATCTTTGTATTAATAAGAATCCTAATAATTACACATGTTCATTGGGAATCTATATAATAAATTAATTAATATTTTTCATTAATTTACTAACTGGAATAATCCTAAAAGTTTATTTAAAAAAAAATTAAAACCACCTAAAACGTTATATTTTGAACAGGTACTTTTAAATAAGATAACCAATTATTTAAGGTAACCAGTTATTTGAAATTGCGTGTCCAAGTTTATAATTACTTAGTAAATAGTTATATTCACTGCATTTTTATCGGCAATACAAATTGAAAATTCGGGAAGCCTTGTCCACTATGTTAAATCTCATTAAATGAGTATAATAAATCTGTATTATATATTACTCTACACTAAATAAATGAAGAAAACTATAACCGAATGAATCTTAGACATAAGTTTTTTTTTTCCTTATCTCGTTTCATCTTTCGGAAAACGAAAGCAACTCCTTTCTTTATCCCGTTTAGATGATGATAAACAGCTGTACACAGCCTAACTCACTACCATTATAAATAGTAACGTACAATGATGTTACATATTAACGTATAAGTTTCGAAATGAACAAATGAAAACTATATTCAAATATAAAAGACGTCTCGCGCGAAAACGGCTCGCGGACGGCCTTATTGTCGTTCAGTCAATGTGACCGTCAATGTGCGGGGCGTGGTACGGTATCTAAAGCTAGGGAGGGGCGGAGAGTGTCCATTCTTGTTACTTTTTTGTTATCTGGTAATATATATACTATAGTCCGTCTTTTTTGAAGACGGGAATAAACTTGCAGTAATGAACTTCCATCTCCCCTGATGTAACGAGGTCGACAATGTAGCGTGCGGGGAATAAGTCTGCAAGAAGTTTTGTAAGTACATAACCGTTTATAAAGATGCTATAATTCTTTTCCAGTACTGCGAAAGTATAGCCTCGACATACATAAGGATAATCAAGTCATCGGCAGCGCCATGCGCAAAACATTGGATAGAGAAAGGGTTTCGAGGCAAGGCGAGTAACGTGCAAGCATTGGGCGAGGCAACCGCCTCGACCGCCGGCAAAGATGTCGACACACCCGCTATGAGTTGTGATTCTAAAGGCCTTTATTCATGGTCAGTAATTATGAGACGTGCAATTTCTTTCTAAGTAAATATGAAAAAAAGGTCCACTCAGCCATGGCCACGTTATCCGTCCTAAACAATTACTGTCAAATACTCGAACAAATTAAAAGACAGAAGCTTCATTCGCATCATGCGTTTTTTTAATTTGGTCGAGTATTATTTATTTTACAGTAATTGTTTCGGGCGGGTGTAGGACGGAGAACGAGGGTACAGCACCAGCATCGAGTATATAACCAAAAATAGAGACGAAATGTCATTTAGTTTGTTTGAAAGATATTATGCCATATCATTACTGTGACAACTGCGCTCCGATTGGCTAGCCCGAGTTCGAAACAATTGACGGGTGTCGTCAACTGTTTCACTTCAAATCGACCAGTTAACTTGAGCTTTGCTATAATAGACGAAAATTGAAAATTACATATTTAATGTTTAATTACCAATGAAATTTGATACCGTTTGTGTTGTAACTAAATGTTTTGCTGATTTTCCCCACGCCACCGAATGGAACAGCGCGCCATTGTTAAGAGATATTATCTTTATTACAATAAATACAGAATATTTTTGGAATATACGGAGACGTACACACAGGTCAGTTGTTGGCGCCGTCTATAGTTCAGTGCAAACGAGAATTGATATTTATAAATGACGTATCACTGTTGAGTTACCAGGAATACACGGCCCTTATTTCGTCTCTATTTCTGGTTATATACTCGATGAGTACCAGTAAAAAAAACGGTAATCACAGCTAGTTTTATTGCTCGACTTGTCCCTATTTTGACCCTTATTGGCGTTCCAGGCTTCAATCAAACACCCTCCTACATCAAATGTCGGAACTGGTATTTCATAATCTATATGGACTAGACCGCGATTACCGAAGTAACGAGCGCGTCGACGAGCCCTCCGCTTCCGTATTTCGTAACCCTACCTGCTCGCTACTGCCAGATCCAACTGGTAAGTTACTTAATTTAAATAAACTTATTTATTTAGGTTGGAGTAACAATAACCTCCTAACGCTCCGCGTACTGTACAAAACGTACATAATATGAACATTCAAAATATCCATGGTATGTTAGTACGAGAATTTAAAAACAAGGTTAGTATAATACAGTGCAGACTTAATTTACTCCTACACTATACATTGGGCTACGCCCTTAATTTGCTCTATCCAGAACTTTACTGTTGGATACTCAAAAGTTCCTGATTTTGCACTTAGAATGCTGTTGGTACTTTGCCTCACGCGACTCAATAGCTAGACATCTTTCGTCATCTTTTTCCGTATTACGGCCTGGAAGCAGTTCGCAAACGGCCGGGGCATTGCATTGGTTTGTCAATACCGTCAGCACTCTAAATGCGTTGTTATATTGATTGAATTATTCAGATTCAGACAATGTTATACCTATGATGACGTAAATGCCCATTGTAGGTACATTATAATGAAAATATCGCATTCAAATTTAACGCAATATATTCTATCTGAAAAATACGTTTTTCATATAAAACTGAGTGTTGAAAATACTTTCTTTAATTAATTTCTTATTTTTCCTTGATACACAATATACTATTAGTTCAATTTAACGTACATTGGGCGTTTAGCGGTTTTTCCATTATACTTTAACGGGTCTTAGGAGGATAAATCAAGCTATGAGTCACATAATTGCCGACCTCGGTGGCCTAACGGTTTACACTATAGGCGCTGGGCGCGGAGGTCCTGGGTGCGATTCCCGGTAGGACCAATTTGGGAAATGAGTTTTTCTAAATTAGTTCTGGACTGAATGGTCTGGGAAGTGCACCAGTGCGAATTCTGTTGCTCTGATACTAATAGCATTTACTACCTCAATGGTCAAGCGGTTACCATATTCGCCTGCTACGCAGAGGTCCCGGGTTAAATTCCCGGGCCGTGAGGAATATTTGTATGGCCTACATTTATTTCTCTCATGAGTTTGGATGTAATTTATGGTTGTCTATGTGTGTATGTCCATGGCACCTGCGACACATGGTTTCCCTAGTGCGGGGCTATGAGTGTGTGCTTTAAAAAATCCTAGTTTGAGACCAGGCAAATGATGTGGTTGTAAGGCACATTATTGTTGTTATTATTGTACTACTTTTTTTCTGTTTTATTTACCTAGACATTTTGCAATTTATTGTCATTAAAATGGACTTTAATCACTATCACTCCCTATACTGGTCACTTTTTAGTCACTATCCAAAATTTTCTAAGCATTTTCATCATCGCGTATATAGTCAGAAATAGAGACGAAATAAGGTCATCTATCCCTGGCAACTCAGACAAATGGGCCTTATATCACTTTTAAATATCAACTCTCGTTTGCGCAGATATCACAAATTAGAATGCTGACATAGTACAGCGCCAACAACTGACCTGTGTGTACGTCGCCGTATATTCCAAAAATATTCTGTATTTATTGTAATAAAGATAATGTCTCTAACAATGGGGGCTGTTCCATTCGGTGGCGTGGGAAAAACAGCAAAACATCTAATTTCAAAACAAACGTAATTACATTTCATCGGTAATTAAATATGTAATTTTGAAATTTTCGTCTATTATAGCAAAGCTCAAGTTAAACAGGTAAAAAATTTGAAGTGAAACAATTGACGACACCCGTCAATTGTTTAGAATAGAATAGGACAGAAACGTTTATTTGCCAGAATACAGTAATTTAACTGCGTCCGTGGCCAAACGGTTACCATGCCGGACTGCCACGCAGAGGTCCCAGCTTCGATTCCCGGTCCGGGAGAAATAGTAGTATGGCCTACAATTGTTTCTCTCGTGAGTTTGGGTGTAATTTGTGGTTGTCTATGTGTGTGTCCATGGCACCCGCGACACACGGTTTCCCTAGTGCGGGGCTATGTTGAGTGTGTGGGTTATTTATTTGTTTATTTATTTGTTCATCAATATAAATTAGTATTATAAATAAATATTATAAATATTCCTTATTACTATAGAAGCAATGTATCATAAGCCATTTTGTCAATTGTGATCTAAACGCAGGTCCGTGTAGTAATTTAAATTCCGTTGGTAAACTATTGAGACTATGCACATATACCATTGACTTACAATTATATGGACGTCGGATCCGCACTAAAAAGTGTCCGAACTTATAGGGCGTTAAAATCGTATACAGAGCGTCATTCACGCTTTAGTCTTCGTTTGTGCGACTGACAGCGAAGCAAGCAAAATTAGACAGTACTGCGATGACATTACAATTTCAATTCAACGTTTTAGCTATTTCATATTCCTTTACATGTCACTACGTTTAAATAGGTTGACATGGGACATTTTTTTTCGTGGTTTTTGTATTAGACCCGTCGTCCATTTATTTGTAAGTCAATGACATATACATATTGAAGCAGTTATTCTTATAAATTAATTTATGGCATCGAGGTTCGTATAAAAGATTCATGATTTTTAGCTCTGGTTTGCCTTTGTATCACTTCACCACGTCTTTCAAAATATTGAGGATGAGTGTTCACGAATACGCTATCATCGAACCGCGCACCACAGATCGCTCGAATACACTTCTTTTGAACCTTGAACACTCTTTCTAAATCTACTGAGTTGCCCCATAGTATAAGACCGTAGCTGAGTACGGACGAAATGTAGCCGTGATAGGCCGTCAGCGCCGCTTCTCGAGAGACAATTTGCCTTAGTCTTCGCAAAGCGTAAACAAATCTATTTAGTCTCATACAAATTTTACAAACATATGTACGATTTCTATGCTATCATGCGAAAGCGTAGTGCATTGCTACTCCGTCGCATGCGTCTCAATACGAACAGCATCCTGAGGCACATTGGTGGAAAGATGGGAGCCCCCAATGCTGGGGCGGTGGATGCGCTTGTACACTGCTGTCAATGCGTAGCCAGATGTCCTGACATTGGCTGGGTACGTTATGTTCCCATCGTAATACCTATAATTTTGATTTATTTCATTATTTGAAACCTAACAATAGCTTAAGTATTTTTCTTTACTAACAAATATTATGGATGAATGTGTCTGAAATAAATGGATTGTTATTATTATTATTATGTTTATTTTCAGGCATTGAAAGTATGCCAGACTACCCAGCGTTCATCGATTTGTGCCATATTGTATGGTTGAACAGCCATCTTCCCCGCAAACATCAGGACAAGTGGCGGTTCCTCTTCTCTTCGCATATTCATGGGGAATCATTCTCCACTATGGCCGGTACGTGGTTTGAGTTGGTGGTGAGAGTTTGGACACATCTCGGATACAACCACATGCCACGATGTTACTAGCGGTACCATTATCTTGTTTCAAAATTTTATAAATATCAGGTTAATTACCAAGGTATATTTATCTCCATAAATAAATATGTAACTCGTATATTATATAAAAATAACCCTTGGCTACAAATTCAAAGGCCGCGAAACTGCAGAGCTGTTTGTTGGCGAAGACACACTCCCATATTTAGCAACGTACCTATAAGGATTTCATTGTAGACATAGAAATTAGACTCCAGTGACTGTTATAAAATATTTTCACTATAAAATCCAAATGTCGTCCATTTTTGTTAAATATGATTTCGCAATGGCGGCCGCCCGTCAGCTTTCCGTTGATACGATAATGATGACATCGATTCATTTCTTATTTCGATAAAACTAATTCTTAATAAAGCAAAGTGAGTTTTCTGACAAAAAAAATCATGTCACGATTCGCTAACGTACCTTTGTCTACCTTACCTATCGTACATATAATTTTATTTCATGCGATACACACTTATATAGATATATCACAATACAACGCTTACTTATCTGAGATTTGTGATAATAATTTATGTTTTGTTTTCTTTTTAAATGTTAGCTTAGATATTTTACACACAACAAAAGTGCCACGGGACTGAGATATTTTTTTTGAATATTTGATCACCGTATTAAAATTAATATTAAAAATTATAATTATGAAATTTACCAGTAAAAATCATTAGTGTAAAATAAAACCTGATTTTCAGAAAACCGGCAAAAACCGTTTATTCCCAGTAGTTCCATGTATTCAGTTCCACGTGGAACAATTGTAACCTAAAAGTTCCATACATTGAAACGCGCTTGATCCCTAGATACTTTTGAGGTGCGTATTCTCGTTAATATTCAAATCATTGTACATACCAGGTAGTTAAAATAGTTTCTAGTTCTTTTACCAAAATAATTTATAGTTATGTTATGAGTATAATATATTGTTCACCTCACTAGCTCGGTTTTTTTTCTCATTAGAAATCAGTGTGGAAAAGGTTTTTGAAATTGACGATGGACTGTTGTGGTGCACCTAACTCTTTCTTTCGATGAAAAAAAAAAACCTAATGGCACGTTCAACTACGCGTTTTGTCGTACATTTTTAATTATGTAGTATAAATCCGATGGTACATTCTATTCTTATTATTGTTGACATTAAATTGACAACAATAAGTAATTTTCTTTATTAAAACATTTGTTATAATTTAACGTTTTTCGTTCATCTACCATTTTCCTCGGTATAGTGAGGTGAAAAGTTGTGTGTTTCGCTCGGCAGCAAAGTTGTTTCGCGTCTCGTGACTTGAAACCCTCGCTACGCTCAGGTTTCAATTTTTGATACCTTCGCTTGTACAAGTTGCAATACAAGCTCTCGCGTCAAACAAGAACTTGGCAGCTTTCCATAACAAATAACTATTTTATTGCTAACAGATCTAGTGTAGTGTAGTAGATCTCATTTTGTTTTTGTTCCGTCAAATGTGTGTATGTGTGTATTACATGTAAACGGGTGTTTGATATGGTGGTGTGTATTATGGCTTGTCATGTTCCAACGTAAATGTGCGTGCACACACAAAATTGACCTACTAAATGCATTTTCGATTCAATAATTTGGACGACTCCTCTAGGGTGTAGTCACACAAACGACCGATTAAAACATTTAGACATTTTTTGAAGTTACGTTTATGTACAGGTCGCATCCAAGAATCGGGTCCATCGTTGTTGATAGTGGAAGATTCAAGTGGCTTCATCTTCGGGGGATACGCGTCTGAGTCATGGCAGGTTTGTAGCACACTTATATATTTTTTTATGATAATACCTACCTACAGTTATTATTACTCATACAAAGATCGAACATACACTAAGAAAAATTCCTTCGATCCGAGTTGAACCGAACCAGCGTCTGCTTCCTCAACGTGGCTAACGCTCTTCCGTAAACAATACATTAGCTCTAACGGTCTTACCTACTGAGCTATGGATTGAGCCAAGTGGGCCTTGGATGTCAAATAAATGATTTATTTATTATTATTTACTAATTTCCGTATGTTCTTGTTGCGGATCTTTTGTTTTGCCGTACCTACAGCAAATATATATTGTATATTTATTGTTATCAATTAACTTTGGTTAGCAGTAGAGATCCTTGTGAACGAATTCGTCCAGAGAAGTACTGCCACCTTACCTATTTCTGCCGCCAAGCTGTAATGTGAGCATTACAGCGTTCCGGTTACCAAACTTAAAGGTGCTGGTGAAATTACAGGCACATGGGACTTGTCAACATATCGATGCCTTAATTTCTCAAACTCGTATCTTATAAAGTGTGATTATTCAGAAGATGGCAAAACTTTCTATTTATTTTAAATTTCTTATCAAGGTTGGTAATAGTGTAATAGAGTAGTTGTGTAACGTACACAGGAAGAATACAGTCGAATAGAGTACCTCCTCCTTTTTTTTGAAGTCGGTTAAAAATAAAAAATTGTTCAGCCGAGAATGTGTAAAGAGCCCGAAACGTTAGTTTGAAAAATTTCGGATTTTTGTAGTTTCAATTTGTACACGAATTAATTTATTGTTTACGTACAAAATTATCTTTCGAGTTTCTTAATTATTTGTTACCTTTTTAAGCTGATGGCTCTATGTTCAATAAACAATTCAATTTAAAAAAGAAATATACGCGATATTTAAATCCGAAATAAAATAGTTTCATTTCCAATAAGAAAGAAAATAAGCCTGTTGCCCTTTGATTGGGAATCGGCATTCCGCATAGGATACTATACACACTCAACATAGCCCCGCACTAGGGAAAACCCTGTGTCGCGGGTGCCATGGACACACACATAGACTACCACGAATTACACCCAAACTCACGAGAGAAATAATGTAGGCCATACAACTGTTTCTCCCGGCCGGGAATCAAACCTGAGACCTCTGCGTGGCAGTCGTGCATGGTAACCGTTCGGCCATGGAGGCAGTTCAAAGTTGTAGAATAAATATCATTTGTTTCTCATAATAATATAGTAATAGATTTCAAGGTTATTAATAAAAATTTGTAAAATGTAAGCAATTCCGTAGACATTGTGGTAGCGTAATAGTTTGACCAACCGCCTCTCAAGCAGAGAAGGTCGTTAGTAGTAGTAATAGGTAGGTAGGTTCGAATCTGGGCTCGCACCTCTTAAGTTTCTCGGAATTGATGTACGGAATTCAATTTGAAATTTACCATTAGCTTTTCGATGAAGGAAAACATCGTGATGATACCTGCACCGCAAGGCGCATTGAGAGGAGACCGGTGCCCAGCAGTGGGTTCAGACACGTTCTCCTTCGCAGTGTAATGGATTATATATCTGTGTTCTCTCGTAGATATGCCCAAACTTCTACGGTGACGACAGCTCGTTCCTGTTCACTTTGGCGCCGCGCATGCGAATCTACCCTGCCACCAACTTCAACAACCACTATCAGTACATGAATCAGAACACCAAGACGTTACCTAATGGACTGGTATTTTTTAATTTTTTTTTAAATTCTTTATTACACAAAGAAAAGGCATTAAAAATACAAGTTACTTAGGATATTTACAAAGGTGAGCTTATCTATAGAAGAGATTTAGTTGCAGTAGAGATCCTTGTCAAAGAGTTCGTCCAGGGAAGTACTGCCACCGTAATTATTTCTGTCGCCAAGGAGTAATGCGAGCATTACTGCGTTCCGGTTTCGAAGGGTGCTGGTGAAATTACAGTCACAACCTGCGCAGTGGCAGTGCCCCTCAGATCTTTGCGATTTAAAGCTCTGAGTGGCACTGCGACTGTTATGGACAGGCGTGTAGCTTACCATCAGGCGCACGACTTGTTCGTTCCGTCACTTGATATTATAAAAAATAAAAAACATTTTCAGATGATGGGTGGCCAATTTGAGTTCGGTGGCATCTGGATAAATGCGGATCCCTTCGGTCACGGCTTCTCCGCAGAATCTTGCAGCACCTACCGAGGGTTCAAACGACTTAGCAAAGAGGCTGAGTTCAAGATACGCAGCCTCGAGGTTTGGGGAGTCGGAGAGAAGCCGTTGACTGTTAAAGAATCGGTAAGTCTCTCTTGCGGAATCGAAACTATAAATTCTTTAGCATCACAGATAGTGCATTTCAGAGAATGTTTTCAATTTAATTCGAACTTCGTTGTTTCTCCTTAGAAAATCCGGAACATTCCATCCTTGTTTCGTGATATACCCATCGTGATAATCGTTACGATAATTATCGACATAAATATGCATTGATAATTATTATCTTCATGCTTATAAAATTAATTGGATTAACAAATTCTATCCAAACTTGTCAAATGTCAATCTCATAAAAAGTCAAAAACCAAATCGTTTTATCAAAGATTCGTTCGTGTTTATTTAGTTCTCATGCTGTTTTAATTATTAAAATGACAAAATAATAAATCAGCATGGATCATTATCGGATAATTATCATGATAACTATCAAGGAAAATAATAATAATAATAATAATCATTTTGTCCACCACTGGCATTGTTCCAAGGAGTCTGTTGGAGAGTTTAGCTAAGCTGGACCTTCCGGCAACTTTTGTATACAAAGTTCAAAAGGCCAAGGCATTGTACGTCGCCACCTTAGCAAGCAACAGACAGGTGATGTGTTGCCACTGTGTTCCACACTGCCCCTAAAATCACCCATTAAGGCGCACCAAAAAATCCCAAAAATAATAATAATTGTTTATTTCAGTCTGTAGACCGTAGTAAAAAAAGTACAATTCATAAGTTTAAAACATCTAATAATTTTACAAAAATAATAATTAAAAATGTCGCACATAAAATAAGTCAAATTAACAAAAATAATAAGATCAATAAAAAAATAACTTTAAAGTCAAGCTCACCCTATGTGACTATTTCGAGCCAACTGTACTTCGACGTAGTAGAGCAAACAGCTCTCAAATAATTATTTTGATAATTTCGAAACCTGCTTCATCTATATATTTCTAATCATATCTTACCGATAGCATACACAATAATGCTATAATGGTGAAAGGATTTACCAATTGACGAAAGGAACACGCCTATTGTTACCCAGGGTGCACCGAAAGTACGAGAAGGAACGTACGAGAAGTTGCGTTCACCCGGGGTGATAAAAAAAAACCACTGACCATTTTTAAGGAGCATACTGTATAATGGAAAAAAAAAATACGTATTCGGTTTTTTTTCTTCAAATACTTAAAAAAATAAATAAGTTATGACGTCTCAAAGTTGTAAACAATATTGACACCCGATGACGCCGTTGCTATAGCAACAAGAACGGTGAGGGGGCAGTGGGCGGAGTCAGCGCGGGAGTTCATGTATTTGACAGACAACAAAGTATTAAACTAACGCGCGATGCTTTAGCGTAGGTCTGTCGTCGCGCGGCGTGACGTGCTGGCGCCTAGGCGTCTAGACAATGCGGCGCCTATGGCTCAATTTTATTTACTATTTTAAGTTAACAACGCGTTAGAAATTATTGGGAAATATTAACATAAAAAAATGGGGATTTTTTTTGTTTTATTTCACTAATGTGTTCTATTACAGAATCTTATGCACAGGGAAAAAATTGGCCAGTGATTTTTTTATCACCCTGTATATTTAGTAACAGTAGAGCTTGTGAAAGAGTTCGAGACCTTACCTATTTCAGCATTACTGTGTTCCAATTTTGAAGGGCAAGGGCTACAGATACATGGGACTTGTCAACTTATATCTCAGGGTGACGGGCGCAGTGGCGGTGCCCCTCCGATCTTTGCGACTTAAAGCTCTGAGTGGCACTGCAACTGTTATATACAAGCGTGTAGCTTATTAAAGAAAACTCCTTCTCTCTATCGTAAAACAAAAATTGTAAAGTATTTTAAAAGGAAGGTCGACTAAATCCTTTGGTCCTCTGAATCAAATTACATTTTCTGTCAAAGAAAATTAATTAATTATAATAGTGTAGACATGTAAGCCCTTGGTGTGACTTGTAATGTAATTTATTAAATTAATAAAATTATTTATTATTATAACCTGTCATGGTAACAAAGTTAATATTAAAAAAGTTCTACTTATTAAGAGAAAATTTCTTAGAATAATAACGCATAGAAACCTAGTCCGCACACGCTAAGTGAGGCAAATTGAAGCGCGCCCAATGGGCCTACACGAGCGGGCGCGCCTTCAGTGCTCAAGGTCAACTTGCACCGCGAATAGATCAAGAATTTTAGCTAAAAATGACGAAATGTGTGGTAAATGAGTGTAAAAATACGTCAGATAAACATAAAATACTAACATCACCTTCCACAAGGCAGTAACGCGTTTCAACTTGTATTTTTATATAAATATTCACTAAAACCGAAAATTAACCTACTACTAAAACTAGCCTACATGAATTTGATTTTTGCCTCACTTGTGACAGTTCGTTTGATACGAAACTATCATTCTATGCGTTATTATTCTAAGGAAAAATTATTATTTTACTTACTTATGGTCAGGCGTTTAGCTTACCACCAGGCGCACGACTTGTTCGTCCCGTCACTAGATAGCATAAAAGAAAGTATTTACCATAATATTTCCTATTCCTAACTCCTTCAATCCCTATCCCAGATGGAATCTGTAACATCGAAACGCAGTAGTGTCCTCGACACGCACCGCTCGGATCGTCAGTTCCTCAATATCATCGGAAAACCTCAAATCAGCGAAGGATTTAGAGGCGAAGTTTAAAATGTACGCCTGTCCTTTTCTAACAAGTAATATGTAATGCTTTCTCTTTTACACGCGTTGTTACGATGGAACAAAAATTGTTCTATAAGATGTCAATGACAAAGTCAGTGGAACAAAAGTTGTTCTTTATGAGGTTAGTAATATAGTCCTGAATGGTTGTTAGTATTTTTCAAGTAACCCTATAGAGTATGACGTAGCTTGGTTACCAAAAATACGCTTGTTGGGGTATTTAATGCATAATGACTGTATTTTATTTAATATTTAATGCAATCTTATTTGGTGTGCATGCTACATCGTCGACCTCATCATCACCTTCCATCAGGTGAGATGGAGGTCAAATGCGCACTTATTTTTAATAAAAAAAACGTGTAAAAATTGTTCAATAGATATTTTAAGTAATGTCAGCTGTGATCAGTACAGAGCATTTGGGGGGTGCTCTGCCCCTTTTTAGTAAAACTGTTATTAGTACATAGCTTGTATAGCGCCGTTGAGGATGTGACGTCACAAACAAATAGTGCCGTTCCTTTCTAACTTAACTACAAGCTCACGCCCTAGTCCCACAGGAGGGGTAGGCAGAGACCACCGAACTCCACTTTACTCTATCCTGAAGCAACTCTCGAGCCTCACATACATCAACTACCCTTTTCATACAACTTCTTTTCGTCAAATTTCGTCAAATATCCCAATATTGTCAAATGAAAACGTTTTTACTAACTAATAGTTAAGTATTGTGATAGTTTAAATTTGATTTTCTTATTCTAGTAGGCCATTACACAAACCTAGTTGTAATAGAGGAATAAAACCGTCATTCATATATATTTTATTAAATATCATTATTTTTTTTTACTATCATGATGTGCATATATTTTTTGTGAAGATACTCCACTTTGAGGTACCGCACCGATTTCTTTTTTATCGATAACGAGCATGCGTACGCGTCACGTGCGTACGTCACTAAGCAGATCAGAGAGAAACCGCGATATCGCTGTCCCGCTCCGATAATTTATAGCCGAGTTTGCAGCGAGTTAATAATCAAATCAAAACACAAAGAAAATGTCCTTCGTTCCAGCTGGATTCGAACCAGCACCTGTTTGCCAGACCGGGGCTAACCGCACCCCCAACAGTACGGAACGATACAGCAAACCTTACGTATCTCTCCATGTTATTGTTGCCGATCCATGTTTTTGGGTTTAAGTGGCTTTTTTGCCATAGCGCCACCTGTGAGAAACCTAAGAAAATTTTTTCTTCACTCACTTTGGGACCTTTACAGCTACTATAGTCGTCACCAAATAAGAGGCCAAAGGCACTTGTCATCGTGACGCGAATAGGCATGTGGGCTAATTATATCGTTAATCACATTATACTATTTTCACGAGAAATCGATTCAAAATTTTAAGTCTGTGATTATTTTGATTATTTTTAATTGTTGTCCAGGGGGCCTAAAAGACCGAATTGTGCAATTCAGTTGAAAGCGATTCATTTACAAAATTCCTTGCAATTCCGTAGCAATTCTTCTTATTTTCCCACATTGTCCCACATTCCGATGAATTGTATCCAATTCTTTTAATTTTGGTTTTACAATATTCATAAATGGTTTATTACGAGAATTTAGTGTAAATAAGTATGTTCATCAATAAAACAACTATATTAAGTCAACATTTTTTCCGAGAAATGGAAGTGACTCGTTGAAATTCGGCACTTAATTGCTTACAGCACTATTTTTGAGAAAAAATAGCTTGAGGACGTAACTGTTTTCAGGACTTTTCGGAATAACTCAAAATTGCATATTATTTTGGGATTCGTGCGAAAACAGTACTTCAAATATGTTTCGTCATATTATATAATGTTTCAATAAAATTTATGTATTTTTTTTAAACTCAATTATGCTAATTATTGTTTGTTTATTGTTTCGTTGATCGCATTCAAAGTTACATACTATCGCCTTCTTTAGCTGTCAAATATGGCCTCTTATTTGGTGACGACTATAGCAGCAGATAAGAAATTGTTATTCATTTCAGACACAGGCCATTTGTATTTTATGTAGTATAATACTATATGCTAGCAGTAGAGCTCTTTGTGAAAGAATTCATCCAAGGAAGTGCGACCACCTTAGCTATTTCGGCCGCCAAGCAGTATTATGAGCATTACTGCGTTCCCGTTTTGAAGGGCAAAGGAGCTGGTGAACTTACGCACATGGGACTTCTCAACTTATCTCTCAGAGTGACGAGTGCAACGACAATGCCCTTCAAGTCTGCTATTTAAAGCTTTTGAGTGGCACTGCTGGTGCTATGGACAGGCATGTCACTTAGCAAAAAATATTTAGTGACAATTATTTCGACAAAATAAAAAAAAACATGAACATTGTTTTTTTTTATTTTGTCGTTACATGACTGCCTCAGTGGCCGAACGGTTATCATGCCGGACTGCCACACAGAGGTCCCAGGTTCGATTCCCGGGCCGGGAGAAATGTTTGTATGGCTTACATTTATTTCTCTCGTGAGTTTGGGTGTAATTTGTGGTTGTCTACGTGTGTGTGTCCATGGCACCCGCGACACAGGGTTTCCCTAGTGCGGGGCTATGTTGAGTGTGTGCGTTATTATTATTATTATTATTATTATTATTATTATTGTTTAGTTAATCGCGTTCATTCGGTTTTCAATCGTTTTATTGTCTATTATTTATTCTGCAGGACGAACGTGACGTCAGCTGTCTGGACATGAATCCCGAAGCCAAGGCAATCCTCGAGATGGCTGGACGCCCGCGTCACTCTGAAGGCGTTCGAGAACCACCACCTTTATAATGAACACCATAGTGTCAATAGGTAATGTATAGTCTGTTTCAATCCATTTTACAGTAAAAGTAAACAAGCCAATTCTGAAGCAATCACTCAATAAAAGGAACAAGTAACACTTTCACATATATTTTGAACATTCCCACTTGATATCTCATTGATTTTTCCAACAATATTCATTTGAATAGCAACTTAAAATCGTATTTGAAACATGTTAGGCCAAATTTTTCAAATTTAGAAGTATGGATTGTCCATGGTTACATAGCGCTGTTTCGAATCGTATACTTTTTGTTAGTAATTAGCAGCGAAATCACAAAAAGAACTGTTATTCCAACTGATTCAATTAAACAAATTGATTCATTCAATTGATCAATTGATTTGTAGGTGGCAATACAACTGGCCATCACTAATATGTCTATGGTCGGGTCAGTGAACTGTTTATTTACTTTTATGTATAATGGATTGAAACGAACTAGAATTAGGTAACGTGCACCTATGTCAAGTGTTTTGGGTAACTTTTTCCTACCTAGGTACAACTTAAAATACGCTGGATACCTCTTTTTGTAAACAACACTATAGTGTTAGGCAAATAAATTACCTAAGTAACTGTTAAACATGGTTCTAGGTAACGTAGGGTCGGTGCCCTTAGATATCCACTATTTGTACTAAGTGATAATGCAAATAGTGTATACCTAAGAGGGGGCACCGACTGTACAGTTGATGTCCAGGTGACCTGTCCCCTTACCGGCCATTTCGTTCTGAATAGATGAAGAAAAGCGTTAAACAAATTTAACCTTTAACCTGTGAGCCGTAAAATTCATTTTGGCATGTGTTCCGATAGTTATTGACTTTTTGACGATCTCAGTGGCACCGTGGGCGCTGGATGATAAGGTGCCAGGCTTGAGTACCGGTTGGACCAATTTGGGAAATGAACTTTATTAAATTGATTCTTATCTGATATTTTTAAACTATCCTCGCGGATTTGTATCTCGGTTATGGAAATATGATTATGCAAAATAGAAATGAAATGCTGAATAGTTCTGAATTTGAGGTACTGTTGCTGAAACAACAGTACCTTACTGAAAAGTGCCCCAGAGTGAATTTCGTTGCTCTGGTACTCATAGTACAGGGAATTATCTAGTTTGAGACCAGGCAATTGGTGTCGTTGTCTGGCACATTATTATCATTTTAAGAAACTTTAATCTACCATCGCGAATGTGTGTCTCGTTTATGGAAATATGATTATGAAATAGAAATTAAATACTTGAAAATTTTGAATTTGAGGTACTCTTGTTCAAACAACAGTACCTTACTGGGAAGTGCCCCAGAGTGAATTCCGTTGCTTTGGTACTCATAGAACAGGGAATTACCTAGTTTGGGGCCAGGCAAAATTGGTTTGGTTGTCTGGCAAGAAACTTCTTAAATTTATTTGATCTTTAAGGTATACTTACTTAAATACAAAATACACATGCAACCATGAAGCTGGAATTCATTGAGCATATATGTAGAATGCGTAAGAAGGCTCTTAGAATCAAAAGGTCGGCCACAGATCAGGTATCTTTGGGTATCGGCTGTACATCCCGGAAAAATAGTCCTAGATAACTTTTTTCATGTTACGCACAAATCTTTGTAAAAACTAAAGTAATTTAACAATTAAATATATACCTGGATGTCTATAGTTTTTATTCTTGGTGTAGTATAATTTTAATATCGTTGTAAAATATCGAAATTTATTGTTGTGCAGTTGCTTTAATGTTTCCTCATAGATCTGTTTAGTTGTCTTTTAAATGCTAATTAATTATAATATTTGAAAGATTACAAATTTGAAATTTATCCAAAATGAAAGTACGAGTACAGTAGTTTTATTTTCAGAAATAACTTTTAACTTTAAATCCTGTGCACTTTACAAATCTAAAAATTAAATTTGTAACTTTTCAAATTAATGCAATTTTAGAATAAAATACAATGTTAGTCATAGCTCATAGCAATAATGTAAGCATTTAGAAGATTTTGGATTTGTGCCTTTTTTCTCAATGTGAATAATGTTCTGTTTTTTTTGGAAATACTACTTTTTATAATACGATTGTAGATCAGAGAAATTTTAATATTTATTCTTTGCTTATACCTAAATTAATTACAAAGATAAGGACCCAGACTAGTACCCTGTGGTACTCTATCTATGACATGTGTCGTTCATCGTGAAAGTGGTGTAACTCCATATTTTAAAAATACATATTTGTTTATAGATAGGTAGATAAATAAAACGTTTATTATTCACTTTACAAGGTATATAACACAAAAGCACATAGAACATAAATTAGTACACATTGATATGAAAACACATTTGTACAGACAAACAAAATTTAATTCTGGTCGTACCTTCACTTTGTGATGAAATGGCCCTGACTCAGCATAAATACTGTAGACCGTGACAAGTCGAACAGCGCTGGTTTTCTGCCAGTCTGGTGTGCGATCGCAATTTTTCCTAATTTTGCTTAATGGTATCACGTTTACGGTATCATATCTTTAATTAAGTATAAAAGTGAAGTAACTCTGATGCTTGCAGTTTAATCCAGTAGACTTCTTACTTGTTTATTCATGAAACTAAAATAGCTAAATATTCATTATAAAAGTGAAGTAAGTCATAAAATTAAATTAAAAGGAGATAATTCACTTTGACGATGAACGACACATATTCTTTCATTGTGTCAAATTGGTGCCATTTTGATTCGAAAAAAATTCGAGAATTTAAAAATATTAGATTTAGTTAATAAACGCCTTATATTATGTCGTTGCTTTATAAAGTATCGAATAGTGCAATGTGAATGTATAATTATAAACTAAATGTCTATGGAATATTTGAAACAGTTATTTCTGTTGCTTAATGTGGTTAATTAGATACTGAATTTTGGACTAATTGAAATGCACATTGTGTTCAGTGCCGGATTAAGTGCCTTGGGGGCCCAAAATATTTTAAATTTATAATTGATGTGTCAATTTATAATCGATGTGTGATTTCCCCTTACTCATGTCCCTATTACTAAAAATATTATATTATGGACGAGCCGAAATTTTTTAACTGTCTACAAAAGTAGAGAGGTCGCTGTCTATGATGGTAAAAGCAAGAGGTATGTGATAATAGGGGACCGTAACGAGCCCCGAAAAATTTTGACATACCTCAAGAAAATTGGTAACAAAACAATTTTTTTTAAATAGTTTCATTTTCAAAGTGTAGTTATCGCGAAAACCTAAGAAGTCAATAAAATTAAAGTACTCAACACCTGACAAATTGAAAAATCACAAATAAGGTATGGGCGAATGTAAAGAGCTCGTTTTTACTTAAAATCCTTTGTCCTTGTTATGGACTGGATAAAGCAAATGAACCAAACTGTCATTTAATTTCTGTATTATTTAGGATTCCACTTTCAACAACAACCCTTATACCCTCTAGATGTTTGAGAATCTTCTAGACAGGATCTAGATTAAACTGCTATTGCTAACAATACTGTAGTTAAATAACATTACAGTTAAGTAAAGAAAAAAAAAACAAAAATTAGATTGTCCCCTGGCTCTCACACTACCCTAATACTCGCAAATCGGGTTTATGTAATCGGTGTCCCCGGAGACATGGTGCCCTAAATATGTATTTATTTTTCTTATTGGTATATCCGGCACTGGTGTGAATTGTAATATTTTTTAAGGGGTCCTCTAATTACGTAGACATTTTATCCTTCAACACGTCTATGGCGCAATTGGACCTCTTCCTAAATTACAACTGGCTTTAGTAGTAATTTTTGAAAATGTTTTTATAAAGAATCAGTAAACATATCCCCTCATGTGTGGACCGAACAGTCTATTTATAGCGTACCGACGTCAAAGGTCGCGCATAACGGACCGCTGATTTAATAATAATAATAACGCACACACTCAACATAGCCCCGCACTGGAGAAACCCTGTGCAGGGAAACACACATAGACAATCACAAATTACACCCAAACTCACGAGAGAAATAAAAGTAGGCCATAGAAATATTTCTTCTGGTCCGGGACAGGTTCGATACCTGGGACCTTTGCGGGGCAGTCCGGCATGGTAACCGATCGGGAAGGTAGTTATTTGTACATTTGGAGTAATTTGATTCTCAGTTTTCAGTTTAAAAAACAGCAGTTGTATATACATCTATCTTCGTCTCGTCTATTGCAATAAGCTTAAGCGAGCTTTCATTTGAAATAAATAAATTTTAAAAAGGCCCCCCTTTTGCAATGGTAAAAACGTGTACGATTTTGGTTCAAAACTTAGGGTCGTATTCCAGAACTCTACTCAATGCTCAAGTCAGGATTTGAGCAGACTTGAGTATGATTTCAAGCACTGGAAATATGACTCTAATGGCAAGGACTTGAGTATGATTTTCGGCGCTCACTGCAATACTCAAGTCCTGACTTCAGTATTGAGTAGAGTTCTGGAATACGACCCTTAAACACGATGTTTTGTGAAAAAAATATATGCAGCTATAGGGTTTGTGTGTATTCAAAATGTCGCGCATATGTGGGGTACTTTGGATTCGAATACACTATGGTGTATTAAAAACACTTACTCCAAGTATTTTTTATTATTTTAATACTAAGTGACGCGACGAACAAGTCGTGTACCTGGTGGTAAGCGTCACGCCTGTACCCAGTTGCAGTGTCACTCAGAGCTTTAAATCACAAAATAACTGAGGGGCACTGTCATTGCGTCCGACACCCAGAGACATAAAATGACAAATCCCATGTGCCTGTAATTTCACCAGTACCCTTACCCTTCGAAACCAGAACGCAGTAATGTTCACATTACTGCTTGGCGACAGAAATACGTAAGATAGCAGTACTTCCCGGGACGAATTATTTCACAAAGAGCTGTACTGCTACTTACTAAAAAAAAAGAACTACTAAAAAATAAAAAGAATTTTGCCAGAGACCCTGATTGTTTATGTAAAATTTAAAAATATGTAGATGCTATATAGGTCCCCCATAAAGATGATAGACGTCTAAGGCTTTGAGCATAAAATATATTTAAATATTATGTATTTAAGAAGTAATCGTCATTCTGCCGTCAAGCAGTATTGTCATAACTGAGTTCCGGTTTTGAAGGGTAAGTAAGGGTGCTGGTGTAATTACAGGCACATGGGACTTGACAACTTGTCTCAGGCTGACGGGCGTAGCGGCAGTACCCTTCAGATGTTTGCGATTTAAAGCTCTGAGCGGCACTACAACTGTTATGGACAGGCGTGTAGCTTACCATCAGGCGCATGACTTGTTCGTTCCGTCTCTTGATATTATAAAAAAAATAAAATACTAAAGTAAGTGTTTTTAATACACCATAGTGTATTCGAGTCCAAAGTACCCCACATATGCGCTACTTTACATGACTTTCTATGACACACATGAGGGGATAAACGCCAAATGGGAAATACTTTTGCTTGAACCGCTTCACATAAACGTGATATAGTTTTGTACTTACTGTACTAGTCAATGCTGTGAATGTATTTAAATCAAAAAGTGCCAATGGCTATATTATTATTCTGTGGTAAAGTATAAACTTTATTACGCCTTTGTTGAATTTGTAAGTAGTGTGGGGAACTTTTTGTTATTTTGATCATACTATCAGCTAAAAAACAAATGTAATTACATTTTATGCTTTACTTAAATGCAATAGTTTTACAAATTACGATTTTTAAATAGATTTTGTAGCTGATACTTTTTAGAATTTTTGAAGAAATGTAATCCTTTTTTTTTAGTTTCATTGATGCGTATGCATTGTCCAATTAAAACGCCGTAGCCATAAGAATTTGTCCAGTTTTATTTAATATACGTAGATAGTATAAACTATAGTATAATTATTTTAATCGTAATAATTGACATTTCAAAGTACATACGTCTTTCCTATTTCGAATTACATTAGGACAACCATTACAGGCTGCTACTACCACACAATGTATGTAGGGAGAAGGGAAAAAACCATCTTTACTAGTATAGTATAATAAAACAAGTAGTCCAACTAGAAGCAGTAGAGCTCCTTATGAAAGAGTTCGTCCAGGGAAGTACTGCCACCTTTGTTTCTGCCCCCGGTTTTGAAGGTTAAGGGTGCTGGTGAAATTACAGGCACATGAGACTTGTCAACTTATGTCTCAGGGTAACGGGCACAGTGGCGGTCCCCCAGATCTTTAAGATTTAAAGCTCTATGTAACACTGCAACTGTTATGGGCAGGCGTGTGACTTATCACTAGGCGCACGACTTGTTCGTCCCGTTTCACTTGGTATTATAAAAATGAAACTTATGTCCCAGGATGACGGGCGCAGTGGGAGTGCCCCTTTAGATCTTTGCGATTTAAAGCTCTAAGTGGCACTGGAACTGTTATGGATAGGCGTGTGGAGCTCTACTGCTACAAAGACCACCGCGTTTTGCACAAAGTTATCACCGTTTACAGCGATCTTTTTAAATATTTTTTTTTTTGTATGAAAGTAAAATGTGGTGAATTGTTAAAGGTCATGAAACAAAAGTTGTTAATTGTGTTAGTAATACAGTCTTGGGAGGTTGGAATTTGCAAATAATCCTGTATATGTGAAATCGTACTAATAATGATGTTTAGCATTCGTCGAGCTTGTTTAATGTCAATGTGATTCTTTTTTTCTTGCTTCCAAAATAAACATGTCGACTCTACAAACGTCCCACAAAATTTTTATTTGATCCTAAAAATGAATGGAATGTAAAAGTTATATTATCATACGCGAGTTTGCGCACTACATTCGATTCGGATTAACTGTACTACCAGTAGTAACACGGGCAATAATTAAGTGCTTGTGTGTCTGTATGTGGCACTGTAGCTCCCAAGTACATAAAATGATCTCAAAGCAGTGTTTTAACTTGACTCATTTTACATTGTCGCGGAACGTAATAGTCGATTTCGCCACGTTCTGTGCAAGAATGGGCGCGAATTCGCAAGAATGCTCGAGAATTCCCGCGACTGTGCCTTATTGTTGAAGTGTGGTTGTTTAGGCTAGATATTTTGCATCACATGGGTGGTGGACTTGGATATTATTTTTATTTCGCTTATTTGTGAAATAAGAAAAGAGAAAGGAAGAACAAAAAAAAAATTCGGGTTCTTGATTTGTGAAAGAAACTAAAACTTGGCGAATATGAAAAATTTTGCAAAGGTTTATATCTCAATATATGTTTCGTAGACGCGTAAGGGCGCGTTCCCGTTATGTCGTAACGTTTTGTTTCTCGTTGGACGACTGTCGCGTCTAGCTAGCCTGTTCCCATACTATCTGTCGTAGCGGTGTCGTGGACTTTTTATAGTTGAACGACAGTCATGCCTAGCTGTTCGCACTGGATCGTGACGACAATTTATCCTTTCACGGCAGCGGCCTTATCGTTTGCAGATATGGACAACGATGAATAAAACCTGCCAAAAATAGTAGCTGCGATCATTTGTCGTCACATTTTTATCGTGATGTTTTATTTATCGACGACTGTCGTTCTAGCTCTTCCCATTGTCTTGACAGTCTGTCGTCGTAACGTCAAAAAAGTCGTGAACGACAGTCCATCGTATTGTATTATATGTGAACAACTTCATTTAAATATGCAAGTCACGACACTTTAAACTGCACGACTATCTGTCACGTCACGACATAATGGGAACGCGCCTCCTACGCGACACTTCCCGCGGATTCGTCAGAAGGCGGCGGCGTGTCAGGTAGTTGCGAGAATACACGCGAATCGGATTCGTCAGAAGGCAGCGATGTGGAAGGTAACTACCGAGAATCCTCTTGAAGACACGCGACCTTTTTTTGGCTTCCATCTAATAAGTTTATCAAGGAAAAAAAACTTTTTTTCTTATTCTAATTGTGGAGTTGTTCTTAACGGTTTTTCATCATTCTGTTTGTAATAAGGGCAAAAATTACTATGAGAAATAAAAAAGAAGACAAAAATAAAACAATCAAATAGAAACTACAGTATATTCATGCAATAATCACACTATTACTTAATCTCTGTTCTTTTTCCTATAGATAAATCTATGGGCTCCTCAAAGCCGTCCATACATTTTTCTGTCAACAGCCCTTGAAGGCTGATAGTCTTATATTCTGATTTTAAACTTAGAACCCTGTCGTCTGTAGTAATTTCAACAGGCTTGGGGTCTATAGGTTTTGATTCTGGTCTCTCTATTAAGACTTTAGGGGTGACTGTACCGAATAAAGGAATAATATGTTGAGTGTGTGCGTTATTAATTGGATTGATGTCGGAATCTTGACTAAGGTTTTGCGGCTCCGTCTTAGTTGCATTGCGAGTGTGCATTCTGAAACAGACATTTGGATGAGTAAAATGAAATAAAACTTATGCACGCAGTGAGAATTTATGAAAGCAAGCAATTGTCGGATTCAAACCTATTAGTTCTAAAGTCAGTTCATATTCCTGTAATGGTTATGGCATGTTTACACAGGGTCAACTGCCGCCTTCGGCAGACTATTTCTCCTTGCCGCAGGAGACATAAACGACTCGCTGTTTACACTGCATCGACGGCCGCGTTCACCGAAATCGCCAAGTCAAATAATCTTGGTACAAAGTACTAAAAAACCGACCTCAAAAGTCATTCATCCCCTAGTTTGCCACCTTTGAAGGTGGAATATTTTCTTCAAATTATATGGATGGGCACTTCTGAGGTACCCTCTTTCCAACAAAAAAGATTCTTCAAAATCGGTTTACAAATGCCGTAGTTATCGCGTAACATACGTACCAAAAAAAAAACAGTCGAATTTGAGAACCTCTACCTTTTTTAAACTCGGTTAAAAATAGGTACAAGCTTATGCACAGAGACAACAAATTGTTCAAAACGATCAATAAATTGATTAGGTGGTTTGGTATTCTTCGGCGCCCAACATGTACATCGTGGTGGGACGCGGCCGTCGACACGTTGAAGCTTATTTCGTTGACAACCGAGACGTCCGACAGTGCTTACGGCTTACAAGTACACCTACTTCACATACACTACATAGTCCCACTGCAGCGAATTACGGTCGTCGTACGACTGTGTAGTAGACAACACTGGGTATTATTATAAAATAAAAGCGAATAATTCGTTCAGTGGTCGATATTAGACTATTTTATTTTACTTGAATATTCTTACAGCTAAGCGCCTTATCTAATGCCGACATGCTTCCTATGCATTTCTGGATGCAGGTGCATTAATGCTGATCACACCGTCACTTTATGAGTGAGATCGTGTAACTAGGTCGACCTAGTGTAAATGCACAATTAGAAAAAAAAATTAAGTACCATTGAAAAAAATCATTACAAGTTTTATTCATATTAAATGAAAGCAAACTTTCGCACGGAGGGTTCAGTACCTTATATGACCTTTGGTTATTTTTATAAAAAATTGCTGAGTTCTTAGAACTTAATTTATTGGTTCATGTATTTTTTGCACATTTATTCAATATTTAAGTCAAAATCTAAATGCTAAAAATAAAATCTCACCTAGTTGCTCTACTTTCCGATGCCGATCTCCCTTTGTTGACCCCATTTTAAACTACATTTTTGACCCCGTTTAAAAAGTTTACTTGGTTTCATTTAGAGAGTCACCACACTGGTTTACGTGGAATCGATTTGAGCTGCCCACAAAAATCCTTTATATTCATGCGATAAGAGCAAAAAAGACGTTGCTCGTTTCGCTTGCACCCACCGTAAAGCTTTTTCAGACAACACCTTAAACGCGATTTCGTGTTGATAAGTGTGGTGACTCCCTCAAGCCGATTCCGCGTCCAGTATAATCCACCGGTTATACACTGGAGTGTAGCTAGTAGTAGCAAATGGGAGGATGTTTGCGGTACTACGGTATTACAATATTTTCTGTAAAACTGTGGCGGTATGGATGAGACCGTATTCGATGCTCTCCTCCGCCATCCGCCGGTTCGCGCTAACCCTGCGATTATTCTTTGCCGGATATAGCTGCCAACCTTCCAGTCATCTGAGGCTTCAAGGAGGCCAACTGAAAGCTCCTTTAGCGAGAAGTTCCGGCTATGGACCCCAGGCAAGCAAGGTTACCTAACAATGCATGTAAAGATCCCAAAGCTATAGCACTGACTGAGGTTGGTTTTAACTTATATAGATAGATTACCATATCTATCAGTTTGAAGTATTTCTTAGAACATAAATTTCGAAGATAAGAGGTGAAACTTTTTTTGCTATATGTTATAAAGTAAAAAATTGTGCTGCAACAATCAATCGACATCCGGGTACTCACCAGCGAGCTGTAACTGTTACGTGCAGATACAGTAACGGGGTTCTAGTGTGTACGCTTGAAACAGTCTTCAATTAGACGGCTCACTGTGAACCACTCCTATGCTCTGGCCACACACAGGCGGCCGTGGAAATGAACCGGGCGCGGGAATTTTGGTAATGTACGAATTCTTATGCACCCAGTCACAGTGGTGGCAGGGTTCATATAAACTCGTATACATTACAAAAATTCCCGCGCCCGGAACACTTCCCGCTTCTGTGTGGCCTGAGCATTGGTCTACTACGCGATTGTTATACATTGGAAATGACACAATTTTTTCGAATCTAATAATAAATCACGAGTATATGTTTTTTCAAACAACCAATCATCACCAACCCATTTATACGTTCCACTGCTGGGCACGGGTCTCCTCTCAGGCGAAGGTTTAGGCCATAGTCCGCCACCCTGGCCCAATGCGGGTTGGCGATTTCACACGTTTTCCTGGCAGGTTTAACTGGCACGTTTTATCACGTTGTTTAGCTTCACCGAAAAGCTCGTGGTAAATTTCAAATTAAATTTCACACATAAATTACGAAAATTCCGACGTGTGAGCCCGGAATAACCGACCTCAATAGTCATTAATCCCCTAGTTTGCCACCCTTAGAGGTGGATTATTTTCTTCAAATTTAAATATGACCACTACTGAGGTACCTCTTTCCAACTACTAAAGTGGACTAAAGCACATAAGTCAAAATCTAACATCATTTATTTAAATTAATACATCTACCGGCTAAATACATAAGTCAAATTCATTTATTACTTCATAAATTTCTAACTTTATTCTAGAGGTTATTTAACTTCTAACACAAAAAATATATAATTATACATATATTAACAAATGAAGCACTTTTTCGACTCATGTGCTTTAGTCCGCCGACGCTAGATTTATTAGTAAGTATAAGTTTAGGAAATTAAACTATTTTTCCGGATTTAAATCGCGTATATTTGTTTTTTCAAACAAACCGACGTTTCGGGCCCTTTACAGGTCCCATGGTCACGGTTGACTGTGACAACCGTGGGGTTTGTTTGAAAAAACAAATATACGCGATTTAAATTCGGAAAAATAGTTTCATTTCCTATGTGTAACAATCGCGAAAACCTAAGAACTCAATAAGTATAAGTTTATTTAGGTATATTTATATATATACTAATGTATATGTAGGTATACTATATCGTTATTTGTTATTTGATAAAAATGTTAATTTTTGTTTGTCTATACAATTCAAATTTTGCTATTGGCACACTACGTATTCCGCCCTTTAGCTTTCCTATATCTCAAAGATTGTTTGGAAGAAATCGCTCTTAGCGATAAGGCAGCCTTTGCCCATATTAGTTTTAAGCTGTCTATGTACTGTTTTTATTCTTGTGTGTGAGCAATAAAGTGTATATCTATCTATCTATAAAAATCGTAATCGAAAAAAAACATATAGTCGAATTGAGAGTCTCCTCCTATTCGTAAAGTCGGTTAAAAATTTTTATTTTTGTTTAAAACTAGCCGCTGGAAAAACCGCACCGACTAGTAAAGTCCGTTAGCCGTAAGGCCAACCCGTTACTATATAATATGTTCATACTTATATTTACGACATGCATCCGTGCGGTGTCTTTCCAAATATCTTCGTTGGCTAAAGGCCTTGCCACACTCAGCGCATCGCCATTGCCACGAATGATGGCCACGGGTGCGTTGGTGAGCGCGTAGGTTCGATCTGTAACAAGCAACTGTATATTAGAGTACAAACCTATAAACTCTACGAGTGTCCTTATAAGGACTAAGAAACCCCTCACACAGCGTCTTTCGAGCGTCATCGCCAGTCTTGCTAATGCACGCATAACGTAACGTACGTACGTAATACCCCTAATTAATTTGTGGGCACAACCCCAGCACTGAGCGACTGCTGAATAGTGCCGAGCGTCGGATAAACGCCCGCGCTCACATTGCGTCGCGGTCGCGCGGACGTCTTGCTGACGCTGTGCGTGCGTTGGCAATACGCTGACGCTCGAAAGACGCTAGTGTGGGGTCTCTAAGAGACCACACAGCGTCTTGCCGCCGCACGCACACCGTCGACACAGCGACCGCGCGGCGGGCGGCGACGCAACGTCGTCGTGTCGACGCTGTAACCGCTGGCGCTGTGCGTGTGGAAAGTGAAAAGACGCTAATGTGGACTCTACATGTAACCTTTTCTACCTTCTGTCACCATTCTCTATAGAATGAAGATATTTCTGATTTGGTCCCTAATGTTAATGAACATTGATTAAAGGTGCAGAATCGGAACTAAGAGGCTAGCGTTTTGCCAACACACGCAGTGTCGTACAGCGGCGACACGGCCTTCGCGCGGCGGCAATGCGACGACAGCACTAAGTGACGACTGCGGAATAGGGCCTAACGCGGGGTATACGTCGCGTGGACGTCGTGTCGACGCTGTGCGTGTGTTGGCAAGACGCTGACGCTCGAAACACGCTAGTGTGGAGGGTCTCTAATACGTCTTTTATGGGCGAAAATCGTTTAGTACCTGAGCTAGGATTTAACCAGTTATACAGGACGTTTGTATATTCAGCATTGAATCTCTTCCAGCTGCTATTGACGGTGATGAGTATAGTGATCGGATAATCGGGCACTTATGTAACTAAAGTTTACTTTTATTTCCACGAAAAAATAATAAAACACGAGAAATAATAATTTATTGTTATTTCGTAAATAATATTAATTACTTACACAATACGAGAACCTGAAATTGCCTAGTAGATTAATGTATTTTTATTCTATATTAAAAGTAAATGTAGTGTTTTTTTATTTTAATGGGACAATATGGGGAAATCCAAAACCATAGAAGATACAAAGAAACTGTCTGAGAAACCATTAAGACTTTTTAACCGACTTCAAAAAAAGGAGGTTCCCAATTCGACTTTTGAATGTAGTTACGCAATAACTCCGGCACTTGAAAACCGATTTCGATGATTCTTTTTTAATTGGAAAGAGGGGTACCTCAGTTTTAGTCCCATTCGAATCTGAAAAAAATATTCCACCTCTAATGGTGGCAAAATAGAGGGTGCATCCGATTTCGGTAACCGATTCCAATAAAACTTGGCAAAAATATATGTAATTCCATGAACTTTTGAGGTCGGTTTTATATTTATAAAAAAGTTACAATTGTTGTGAAAACAATTTAAGCAAAATAAATTTTTTGGACAAGTGTGAGTTGTCCATAAAAATGAATAAAATTGATTAAATTTTGTTTTAGTGCTGTGACTCAGTTTTATGTAAGAAACTGTCTCATTAAAAAAAACACTGTATATATTAAAAGCGGGTCCATATTATTTCTTCGTGGGCGGTAAAAGCCAGAAACCTTAGGTAAATATGTGCCCGAATATCCGATCACTGGTGATGAGTCAAAGTCCTGCGTTACCGATGTACAACTCTTTTTTTCGTCATCGTGTTTCCCACGGAAATACAAAACGACAAGCTGGCAGTACCGTCGGCTCTTGCATGTTGTTTTATCCAAGACTGTAGTACCGACTGGTTTTCATCAAAATGTTGTAATTCGTTGCAATTTATTTAGATTTCTATGGTCGCAAAGTAAAATATCGCTTCGGAGAAGTTTTAATTGTAGTAGAATATAAATAAAGGAGGTAAGTAGCGTACCGGTCGGCAAAAGTCCTAGTGCAATGTGAATGTGGACACGCAAAGGGTCGTTCTCCAGTGTGCAAGCGGAGATGCCCTTTGAGCACCCATGGACGGTCGAATCGCTTGCCACAGTAGGAGCACGCGTGCCAAGAGCCTGCGCACCATGCGGAGGAGAGGTTGTTCAAGTATGAGAAGCCGGTTGTGACTCAATCTTTGTATCAAGTTATATAAAAGTTAACGCCAAAACTCAAGACGCTTATACTCTGTACTTCAAACAACGATTGATCCTACGACCTTTCAAAACTTGTGAAAAACAACGGCTCAAGTCTTGTTGGAGTGAAAAGTAACGTAATTGCCAGATTTTTAAATGAATCTACGACAGTCGTAGAACTGATCATTTGTTTTGATGCCAACTGTATAGACGTACTGCAAAGGAAGGAACATAGTTCATCAACATGGCCACTGCCACATAACAATGTCTTGAATCCACTAGATCATAGTTTCTCAAAGTGGGGGGCCAAGTGGGCGCTGAAGAGTGAGTGAGTGAGTGAGAGTGAAGGGATGCGTTAATGCTGTCCAGGGAATGCTACCGCATTTGAAAACAAAAACCCTGAATATACATATAATAATCCACTACATACATAGGAAATGAAACAATTTTTTCCCGGATTTAAATCGCGTATATTTGTTTTTCCAAACATACCAACGTTTCGGGCCCTTTACACAGTCACAGTCACGGTTGATCATGAGACCTGTAAAGGGCCCAATACGTTGGTTTGTTTGAAAAAAATATCCGGGAATTTTTTTTTTCATTTCCTAAGTGTAACAATCGCGAAAACCTAAGAACTCGATATACACTACATACTTTCTTTTTTCCTTAAGTTAATACAAAACATACGTCTTTTCAATTATTTTTTGTAGTGATGGGCGTTTAATTTTTTAAAGCTAAGTGGGCGATGAGCCAAAAAATTTGAGGACCTATGCACTAGGCCTTTATCTGGAATAACTGTGTAATTATATCAATATCAATTCTCCCCCTCACGTTTTCTTTAAAACATAGTAAACATATCCTACTACCGCGAGTCTTCGAAATATGGGATTGAATCCACAGTCCGACACACTAGTCTAATGCGGGTTGGAGCCTACACATCTCAGGGTCGTATTCTAGAACTCTACTCAATGCTCAAGTCAGGATTTGAGTATGATTTAAAGCACTAGAAATCATACTCAAGTCCTTGCCATTAGGGTCGTATTTCCAGTGCTTGAAATCATACTCAAATCTGCTCAAATCCTGACTTGAGCATTGAGTAGAGTTCTGGAATACGACCCTCAGAGTTGAACCTTGCTCGACAACGACATACAGGTGTGTTAATACGATGTCTTCCCCCACCGAGCTCGAGTATACGTAGGATTCGAATAAACTTAGAAGTACAGCTGCTGACATTCGAACGCTAGCTTCCGGAACAAGGTGCAAGACCTCAATTATGCTATAATTTCTTCACTTGTATTGTTGCAAACAGCGAGACAACCATGCAAGGTGGAAAAACAGCCCTGTGCCATAGAAATTTTGTTCTTCCAGCTCAGTATTGCTGTTTAAACCTTTTCTTCTAATTATCTGACAAACTTTTATACGGCGACAGTCCTGGGGGTCTACTGCAGTTCTCCGTCCGAAACAATTACTGTCAAGTAATACTCGACTAAATCAAACAAGAATGTCAACTATGAAGCTTCATATGTTGAGTGTGTGCGTTATTATTATTATTATTATTATTATTATTCGCATCATGCGTCTTTTAATTACTTAGTATTACTTATTTGACAGTAATTGTTTCGGACGTCTGACGGAAAACGGGAGTAGGTAAACCCCTTGAACCGGAGTGGTAGAATTGGCATTGTCTTTTGGCATTTATGTGCCATTTGTTGTTTTTTTTCCTTGCGCAGTTAACTGATACAGTACCTAACAATGAAATTAAGTAGTTTATACCTTCTTTCTTTACTTCATATATAGGTTCATCATCGCCTTCAATATTTTCCTTGTCAAAAGTTTCCTTACAATTTAGTAAATCCTTAGCATCGTCAGTATTATTCTTCACCAAACTTTTTAATTTCTCTGCTATTTTATCTATTTCTATTCCTTTTACCGTTTTTAACGGTTCTCGGCTTTTTATTTCCTCAATTATTGGCGCCAAAGGCTCTTTTCGGTTTTTCCGTTTTTTTTCCAGAACCTTTAAGTCATCGTTTTCAGCTTTCTCTTGTACTTTATTTCTCCGAGTACGAGGTTTTTCGTATACTTTGCGTTTCGTTTTACCTTCACTGGAACGTAAGTTGTAAGTTGTCTTCTCCACATCTTTTTTAATATGACTTTTATTTTTCGGCGGTTCTGGAGAATTTATTGGCTTTTCGCTTTCAGAAGCATATTCGTAGATTTCAGTTTCAGTAAAATTTTTAAGAAATTGACTTTTTTTTAATAATTGTAGATAGAAACGAGTAGATATGGGCACTTTGTCGTGGTATACAGTTTCGTTATTCTTGAGAAGATTCTTTTGACGTTTTATATTAAACGGTTTTGTTATACGAATTGCTGAAAAGACACTTAAATATATACTCCCGGACACATAATTCGAGTCACCTCGCATTTTTGTCGTAAAGGGCTAGAAAACAAAAATAGTGTCATCATCGAAGAAAAAGTTTTACCCGGTTTTGCAAATCCAAATTCCCAACAAGGATTTATGGAAAAGACGTTTAGTATACTAGTTTCAGAATTGCATAATAGTTTTTGATCAATCAAACATTGTTTAAGCTTAGGGCACTTAATACTGAAAACGCGTGGTGGCTTTTTATTGATTTTTTATTCATTAACATTATACATTTATTAACTGCCTCCGTGGCCGAACGGTTACTATGCACGCAGAGGTCCCAGGTTCGATTCCCGGACCGGAAGAAATACATTTATTTCTCTCGTGAGTTTGGGTGTAATTTGTGGTTGTCGATGCATTTATCCCTGCCACCAGCGACACAGGGTTTCCATAATGCGGGGCTATGTTGAGTGTGTGTGTTATTAGCATTATTAGATTTATTCATTTCAATCAGACAACTGTGGCCCATATAATATATGTCTTAAAGACTATCTAATTTATAATATACAAAACTAATCTACACGAATTGTACTCGTTGGCGACGTGTGGCGTAATCTAGTGTCAGATAACCGGCCGCGGAATCACCGATATACAACGCCCTTCGGCCGAACAGATGTTCGTTCGGCAGTCGCACCACAAACGAATTAAAATTCACGTTGTGGCGGGTCTCCAACCGCTCGACACTCAGGGTGTATTTCACTTTTAGCCTGACGTAATCCACTATCTTCTCTGGCTTCGTGGAATAATGCAGTCGCGACATATTATGTACCTTACTTTTTTATTTCATGCGAGTTGGTTTATTATTATATTTTTCGATTTATTTGTGTTATCATTCGGCTTCACACAGCTATACACGCTGTTCTTATAATAGACTTTACCTTCACCAATCTACTTATTATTAGGTACTTATATTATACATAATTATCTACTGTCGATTCACATAAAGTATATTTAAGTACAAAGCTAATATTTGAAAAGTCACATCAATGCCGCGAAAATTTAGTTAGCATCGACTTTACATTACACACTTTACATTATTAAAAGGTCAAAGAAACTTGTTAAAGGCGTAGGTAAAAGCACCGTATATCGGAGAGTTACCTAATTTCGGATAGTGGACTAGCTCTTTTTTTTCTATAGTGGCCTCTATTTTTTATTTTATGTTTTATTATAATAGTCAACTATAAAGTGGTGCCACTGTAAAAATATCATCTGACTAGTTTAGAAAATGGCAGAACAGTGAGACCACGTTACTTTTACAAAATAATATATTATTCTATGGAAAATGTTTTCGTCGGGATAAGAACAAATTATCATTGCAAATGCCAAGTTTTATAAAGTCTACCATCTATTAATACAAATAAATGCATAAATATTTTTAAACCGATAATGTTTACTAAGTTGTACAGTTTTTATGGCTTTGTGAAATCTTAATATCGAATACTTACGCCTGCCTAATATTGGATACCTACGAGTATCTGATATTATGATACTTTTTTAAATGAGAACTTCAAAGCTTTTCATACATGCAATTTACATATTTTTTATGTTCTATAAAAAAATCTAATATTTGTTGAAAATAGTTTTTTATGTTTGAGTTTATAATTATTTTTTAAGAATGTTAAAGTTCCTTTTGGATCTCTAATAGATATAAGTTACTTTTTTTTAATGTTTAAGTTCCTCATTAGCCAATCAAATATTGATTACAAGTCTAATAAATACAAATTAACGAATTGTTTGATTAGTTTAATTTATTATAATTATTCTCACCTAATATCGTATTCACAAAAAATATTTTTGAAACCGTAAAACCGAATAGCTGGTTTTAGACAATCTTTTTGAAATTTATTGATTTTCCCTTTTTTTTATAAAACGTATTGTAGCTTAAAATATTTAATTAGAATATGAAGAATTTGTATTATTTTTAATAGATCTTATAATAAATACTACTTTATGGTTTCATTTAAAGTTCATAAGCGTTGATTAGTATTTTTTTTAATTTTTCAAACAAAATTATCCGATGTTTGGTGCTTCTTCCCTAATATTTCGAGCTTACAAAATATGAAGTTTGTCTTTGACAATAAAAAGTCTAGTAAACTAGCCCGCATAAAATATTCAGGGTAATTTGTTTCTTTTTTCCGAAACAAACATCGATCTACACTGCAACTAATTAAAAACTACACTATTATTATCTAAGTACAATAACATTCTTTATATTTTGCTATTGAATATGATACAGCTTCCTGCCATACAAAATTTTCGTTTCAAAACTGAATCTACAAAGTGACTTACTTTCTTGCGAATTATTACCGAATTCATGTATGAAACTAGCCTTCCAAGGCCGCACGGAGTTAATGAAACACTTGGGCATTGCGATCTGCACCAGAAAATAACACAAATCCTGTGCAAATACATAAAAAATCAATTAAAAGCGCTTCAACAACTGTAATACACTTGTAAGCACTTGCTGGAACGACAGATAGAAACAAGCGAAAAGAGGCATTTTTATTTTAAGAAATCCAAATTTGAATCAACCAGTCCTAGTATTCGGTTGCCAGTGTCATCGACCGAGGGACAGCCCTACATTTTTTAAATTTTGTTTACGGAGTTCGTTAGAGCGTGACATATTAGGTCTCCTTCGTTCGGAAAAGCGTGGAAAAGCTCGGTTATCGGTGGCACGTCATGAAAAGCGTGGATAATTAGATAGCGCGCGCGCGAGGGAGCTGAAACGCGGCGCGGGAGGGGAGCGGTAGCCGAGAGGGCGCGCATCGATTATTCGTCTGCGAGATTTGGCGGCGTCGGTACGCGCTGCCGTTATATTTAGATTTGCCGCCCGAATTCACGACGCCGGGCGATGGTAAATCACTGTGGTGTATTAAATATTATACCGCGTGTGTAAGTGTCTTAAGAGAGTGGTGTGTAAACGTATGAGGTGACCGTGCTATGGGTGCGCTCGCGTGCAGTTAGGGCGGCGTGGCCCGCGCCCGGCCCGCGGCGAGATGGGCAATTCGTGCAGCTCAGGGCAGGCTCACAAGGACAAGGACAATGTATCTCAGCATTCCGAAGAGTGAGTACTCATACTCTGCGTATGAATTCTTGACGCGCCGTGAAGGTCAGAGCACTCGGTCACACTGTTAGCTAAATGGACTGAGTGAAAACAACGTCACACATTTGTTTTATTTGTGTATGGAAACTATTGTTGTAGATAAGCGGAGTTGGAATCGTCAAAATAAATCAATAATCGGCCAGCCCCGCCTGGCCACAGGTTGTAGTATTTACACAACAAATTGCCGATGTGTTTATGAGGGTAATTTTGAAACGAAAATTTTCGCGGTCGCCTCATAGTATATACTTGTAGTTCATATTTTATTCATCAGCCAGCTGAAACACCAACATAGTCACGGGTGTGTTGTAAAAAATCAATACAGATGCGGGTCTCTTTGCTCCTGTTAAGTTAATCGAGTTTGTGATACTTGAATATGTGTATTGCGACCCTCGCGTTAAGATCTCGCCAAGGATATCGGTTTCCTGTCAAGGTTAACTATTCGAGTCAAACAAAGACTCTTGACATCTTTTATAAATAAAACTATTTTTTAAAACAATAAGTATACCTACTTAAACTTACTCCGTGTTGTAAACGTGAATCTAAATTCTTCTTCCACAAATACCCAGAACTAGGCACTTGATACCTACAAAAATATGTTAAGAAAAACAATGCTCACTAACCTACCTAAAATTCCATCCATTAACAAAATTGACAAGATCGATTATTTCATACATTCTTTTAAATAGAGGGTACTTCAAAATTTCTTCAAAATGAAGGTCTTAAACTAATTAAGCAACGCTATAGTCCTTCGAGTCGGATTAAAGCAGTTACGCATTTGAAAAGGAGAAACTCATAATTTCTTGAAGAAAATTAATGAATGTTTTATTATTACTTATTTTATAATTACTCTATGTTATATACAATGTGTCTACCTTTGCTTTCCACTCACGTATACAAGGTTCTATATCATCGTACTTTGTGTATGTTCTTTGTCTACCCACTTCCTAATCTCTTCAAAACAAACCTTCAAAATCAGACCTGCCGGATACCACACGTACTCATGACTATAAGGAGTTGCTAGTATAACAAATTAGTGAAACACAGCTATCCAAAAGCAAACAAATCATAATGTCATCCACGTATGAAGGACTACATAGTTGAACGTTGTGAGCTCGCGTCTCGAATCACAATCGGTTCATTAATATAATATAACGACTCTATTTGTCTCCTAGTTCTACCAATCGGGCTACAGATGCTACAATTTGATTGTGACACAAATTCACTACCTCTATAAACGTGACTTCGTATTTTGTGACTAATAGGGGTTACGATTAACCAGAGGGCGAGTGAGGTATTGCCAACAACGATGTCAAAAAAGATACCTCTAATTGGATACTTCCGATACTTTCACAGTTGCAATGTGCGCTGTAGTAAGGGTGACAATATAGCCCTCGTTAACGAATAGAAAAAATAGTACGTTTTGTATCTCTTCAATGTGTAACCTCGATTGATGCTGTAGATATATTGTATGGAAGTTGTATCGCCAAACCTTGAAGGGCTTATAACCTGACATATTTAAATCTTTTGCAACTCACGTGCTACTAACAGTTTTAAACAATGATCACTTGCATTATCATTAAAAAAGTTAACAAATAGGATTTTCAGTTTTTAAAGATGGGTACCAACCAGTATCTAATGCTAAAACTGATATTAACCATCTGTTTTGAAGACTTGTCGTTCGTTTCGTATACCTTAGTATTCAATCTACTAATGGTTATGGATTACTAGGAATAATATGCAACGTTATCTTAGGTCAAGACCGCGACCGCTCTGGTCTCGACATCAGTAAACTTGTAATGACCCTGATCTTTGATGCTAGTAACCCAGGGAAACATTTTATACCTCGCCAGTTACCACTGCACTCGCAGAGCTCTACCCGTTTTATAATGAACTCCCTTTTCCAGTAACCCAAAGTAGAAGGCCATAAGAATAATAATAGACAAAATGTCATAAACATCTTCATGAGGGGAGTGGGAATGCTTAGAAAATGAAAAACGTTACTCAATATCCAAAAGAGAAAGAGTCAAGTTATGGGACAATAGCAATACCGTCGTATTACAAAACGGCAAGTTATTAATTGTGAAAAACTACAAAATACCGATTTCTGATTTTGTCCTTTCCACACTCTAACAGCTACACTTGGGTCCTCGAATAACCGTGATAATGGTAACCAATAAATGATAAGATTGTATATGAGGTCAAAAAGCACAAAGAGTGAATAGTGCCACCATACAATTACGTAAAATGAAAACAACATAATCATAAGTGATGATCCATCATCAAATTTACACTACGTCAGTGCAGCGAGTCGTCACGACAGCAAAGTAACAACAATTGCGCCAATTACAATACACTCAGCTGAAAAATAACATGCCGTGGCATATGTCTTGCTAAACTGTACTAAAAAAATGGTAAGCGCAAAAGATGATTGCGAGACCAATAACCAAGATAATGAGATAATGTGTTTAATATTATCAGGGATTACGAGGTCTGAATAAATATAAACAAATTTTGGTTTATATAAATGGTATACATCTATATATTGCCACTTTTGGAACTCGTAAAAGCCTGTTACTGTCAAATTGTCAAGATTGGATTCGTGGACAAAATTTTTTTATCTATTTATCCCCTTATTGTTTTACCGATAAAAGAAGGCAACATCTTCAGTCTGTAACCGTGCGTAAAAGAACTCTATTAGAACAATAAGTTTCTTATGAATTTGGTAAGTTCTATTAGTTACGTAAGCATGAATTCAAATGTACAGGTATTGTACACGACTGTACGCATCCAATGAACCACGCAACTGCGGGTGTTATGCTCAATCAAATGCTGCATGCGATGTTTACGCATTCGCAATCGCGTCATCACCAACTCGTTAATGCGAATTTTGTAATCAGGCTATTGTGTTGCGGACACGTTTCTAATTAGGCCCAATTTACATTTTTGTAAGTGTGGGTGGTAGAGCCTTCTTTGTACTGAGTAGTTGTACTATTTTTGGACCTTAAATTGTGAAGCTGGTTTGTGACGTCAACGTCTAATTTGCCAACAAAATTGTTAACGCAGTGTCTACTTGGTACTTACACACTTGTACTTCAGACTAAGTAGTATATAAAATTAGCTTAATCGTAGGAACGGGATATAGGGAGTTCTTTTTACGCCCACAACGCAAATGTAGATATTTTTAGTAGTTAGTTTCATGAAACACAAAGTTTTTGTTTTGACAGATAATCTCATACAGCCAAAGCCAATGATATGAAAATTGACGGGCCTAAGCAGTGATTACGATAAATCTAATTGACCAACTTGATAATAACAGACACGGCCAACATGTTTTTATGTCCTTTAATATAATCGCTTTACCTCTGAAAAAAATTATGACGAAATAAATTCTCTTTAATTCGCTCCATCTCAAAATTCAGCCAGCTAGTAATACTTACAGACTGCCGTAATACTTATAAAGGGTTTTCCTGTGTTGTGCGCATTAACGACAAAATTGAATTAAATTTATAGCTAAAATTACCTATGTCAAAGGTAAAATGATCAAATGTTTTACACGGTTCAGGTGTTTTTTCTTGTTGATCAAAGGCACTTGATTTTTCGTTGTTAATTTTTTTTGTAAATCCTTTTATCAAGATTTACCTGTTCTGTTAACTGACACCTATCAATCTATTGAATGACACAAACTTTATTTGAAAACTTTTAATGAACTGTTTTTCTTTTAACCTTTTTTATTTCAATATAAAGAGTGTTATCGATTTTTTATTTCGTTTTCATTTTGTGTAATAAAATAAACTAAGTAATAAAACGGTACACATTCATGATGTTCGCATAAGTTCTCATCGTTTCACGTAGGTAATTTTTCGTTACATAGCAATCTTCGTAAATGCGCTAATACGTTTCGCGCCAAAACTTATTTCATAAGTTTTAATCACGGTCGTCGTTTATTTTCTAAATAACCACAACATAAGCGTGTGACGATTATTTTACGATCGTTTGGAGGCCGCTCCAGGCCACGTTATAAATAAAATAAAATAAAAATAATTGTCGAAATATTTTAACGTCGATGGCTGGACGGATGTCAACGACAATTTTCCGAACACATTTGCGCGCCAAAAATTTTTTTACGGTTACAAATTGGAGGAAGAGCATCGTAATAAAAAATTACATAATGAGATACAAATTTATATAACTTTATAGAGAAAATGGTATTTTTTGTTAAGATAATTTTACACTTTAGAGTAGTTAGCTCACAAATAAGTAAAATTTGTCTTGTGACTTGTTAGCGCCAAAAATGAGGTTAATTATTGTAGATGGGTGTTTAATTAAACACCATCAAGAATGTTCACTGGAGAGTATCTAATAATACAAAATAAATAACATATGGATTAACCTATCGTAGCAAAGTATAACCATTGTTAACAGTAAGCAAGGTTTGTTTTCAAAAATAACTAAAATGCTTTTTGTGTCTACTTTTATCTGCAAATGAAAATATATGTGGAAACAGTTCTGTGTGTTAGATTTATAAATTTAAAAAATATATGTTTAACTATGATTTAGATGTCAAGTTTTTTTGTCTATGTTTCGGCTACGATTTTCGCTTGCGTTGCTTTGTACAAAAGTTGTTTAATTAAAGAAAAAACTTAATAAATTCGCGTTGTCTATATCACCATTCCCATATATATGTATATATATATATATATATATATATATATATATATATATATATATAAATATCTAAGCACAATTTTAAATAGAGTATTTTAAACTCAGGTACGGTTATTCAGGATATTTCTTTATTATACTTCTATTACATATATAGGTATATATTAATGACATTGCGCCAAAGCAATTTTATAGAATATTTCCCATCTGAACATTTTCGAACATTAGCGTGAAACATTACATACATTATAATGAAACAGCTGATGTCAAAATGTTATTTGGCATCGGACTATTTGCGT